TTCCTCTTCAGAGGTTGATAATTAAGGAAAACCTAGAAATAGAATAGAAAGTCGGCTTCCTGGTTTAATGCAGAGCTGGGCACTTGCCAGGAAACTGGAGAGATAATGATCTTTTAACACCAACACCATCATGAATATTGGCCAACTCATTTTCCCTAATGTCCACCTATTTTAGTCAGTGCAAAAAATTACTCCAGCACAAAACCAGAAATACTTTGGAATCATGGAGGATGACACGGAACGCACTAGTTGTTATGGTTTCTTTTATTTTCAAAAAGTAATGACACAATTATGGGGATGACTAATATGCATATTTGTTTCAGACATTCAACTGTCCTATTAGTCATAATTATTAAAGTTAACTATTCATACTAAATCATTCAAAATCATGAATTCTTCATACAAACTTGAAGCCATTACCTCTTTTTATATTTGGCTTTTCAAGTGAAGATCTATATCCTTTGAAAACCACAGAAAAATTGTTTATGAGTTTAATAACTGCTAAACATTTTGTAAAATGGACGGGGCCGCCTTTTACAGCTGCATTTTGTGTCTCTGCTTTTGTCTCCTTGAACCCCAGTCGGCCTCAGCAGATGGCCGCTCACACTGAGCCTGGTTCTACTGGAGGTTTCTTCCTGTTAAAAGGGAGTTTTTCCTCTCCACTGTCGCTACAAGCATGCTTAGTGTGAGGGATTGTATTTGAGTCAATGAGTCAATGCAATCAACTGGTTTTCCTTAGATAGAAAACTTTGTATCAATTTGACTGTATGATCTGGTTGAACTGTAAAGTGCCTTGAGATGACGTGTTGTGAATTTGGCGCTATATAAATAAACTGAATTGAATTGAATTAAAATTTGGTAATTAAACATCATATCCACAGTTATAAAGCCAATCTCTCAAGGCATACGAAGAGTCCAAAGCATATTGTTGGGCCGTAAACCATAATATCAGTTTCAGACATTGAGGACCAATAATCATGCTGATATTTAAATGGCCATTGAGGACAGAGCAACTGTCTCGTTAGCCCCATTTACACTACCCTTTTGAAACTGTGTCGAGAACGGTCCGAGAAGTGTACTTTTTGAGTGTAAAAGGCACGCACAACTGAAACGGACCTCGGCAAGGCCGCGCTAACATGGTACTAGTTCATCAGTAGGGCTCAGCGCAGTTCAGTTCTGGCTAGGTTCTCAGATAACAACAGTGCATGAGCAGACCACGTCATCTCCTTACAGTCAGCTTCCATAATCATGAAATTTCGTATTCATAAAAATACCAGCTTCCCTACCATACCACAGAAGTTACACTGATGATTCTGCTTAGCAGTGTGACGAGCCTCAACGTCCGTTGTCGTTTCCTGTGTCTGTAAACCCCGATTAGACTATTGTTTGTCATATTCACTTCCCAAAAGCCGACTGTCAAGTAAATTCACCAAAGGATGCCTCTTCATCTGGCTCTCTGCAAACTTCCTAAATGTTACAGGCGCCACCATGTTAATTTGCTTGTTTACCTCTAGAGAGCAGAAGTACCGTAGATCTGTCACTAGGCATCACTAGGAGGCGAAGAACCGTGCAAGTGTGGTGTGTAAACAGTTGTAAGGAACCAAGCTCGGGACAGATCAGTTTTCAGAGGGTATTTTAAATGGGGCTTATATTTCTTTTTTTCCATGAGTTTCTGAGAGGCTCATATTGAAGCCATCGTTGAAGCCACCATCATGGCCCCATGCCCATAACTCCAGACTGACTAAGGCTAAGTGGAATCTCTTGGCTGACATCAGAAACAAAGTGCTGAAAAAAAGACTAAAGGGCAGATTATACTTCTGCAACCGCACACATCAAATGTCGCCTGGGTCTGGTCACAAACCAGTATTGCTGGTATGCTTCAGCACTGTCGGTCTGAAATTTCTAGGGATGCACAGCAGTTTCCTATTCCAAAACTCACAAGAACTTTGGTGGAGCCGGCGGGAGTCTTCCAAAACAACAATGGCATATCTGCGAGATATCACGGTCACGGAGATGGATCTAGAGTTGCTAGACATCGTACAAGATATATTGATTTATATTATTTATCTGAGGCATCATACATGTGGTTGTACTTCCGAACCTCCTCGATTATCCTTTCGACGTAGTTGTCCATTGTTCCTCGGTTTTAAAAAAGGTGCGCCCCAGCACCGAATCGAGAAGGACGACCACACAGACAGCCGGGAAGGCATACCAAGGACCAATCATACCAAGGACCAATCGCAGCTGCTTTTTGTCTGCGCACTTCTACTTGAGCTCTGCGTGAGTTTGCGACGGTTCAACGCGTAGTCAGGATATTTTTTTTAGGTGCGCCCCGACGGTTGCAGAACCTCTGCGTGGGGGCGTGGTCGCGTACAGAGACAGATTTGACGGTTGCAGAGGCTTTGAGTCAGAAGCATAAATTGGCCTTAAGCTGCTGAGAAAACTCAAGCTTTCCACATGGAGATCAGCAGAGGTTTACAGGTCTGGCACAGTAAGGGACAGATTCTCCAGTTAAGTAATCTGTCTTTTTGATGATATTTTATCATTTCATGTGTTTACTCTTGAGTAAAGACTAAGCTAACACGATTGATTGCATGGTAGGCTATCCTAACATGTTTGAGCTGTTGTTTAGAAAGCTAAAAGAATTTTAGCTTTCTTTATTTTACTAAAGGTTTAAGCGCTAATATAACTTTTTCTCAAATGCTGAGTAACAAATATATCGCCAAAAGCCATTTAATAGGATTCCCCCTATTTGCTTGCTACTTGCTCAATCAATGGATAAGAATCAATTAACAAAAAGTTATTTATTATTGTGTTATCAAATCCTTTAATAAAACATTATTTAATGCATATGTTGGAAACTTTCCTATTGCTCTTAATTAGTTAAAAGCTAATTTGATAACTTTCCAAATTTCTCAAGATAAAGTTTGGTTCTCAAACATAAAATCCATGGTAAACGATGATGTCATTGCATTATTTAATTGATAATGGTATTCCGCCATGTTTCCTTTCTTTGTACATAGTTGCTTAGTTTAGTTGGGTTTCACTAGTTTTAGTTAAAGCTACAGTGTGTAACTTTTAGCGACATCTAGCGGTCAGACTGCAGCAACATGAACATCTCCCCCCCCACCGCTTCTCCCCCCCAACAGTACGCCGAGCGTTACGGGACAAAATGTCTTCCACGACGTCCGCATCACCTACCTTCTCAAGTGATGAGGTTTGTTTACATAGATAATTTTACAGATAGTATTTCATTAGTCTGTGTAGGGTATAGATTTCATGTAGACTTAAGATAATAAATATACCCGTTATTTTTTGTACATCGTTGTGACATTTTGGCGATCTCGCAATCACTAGTTTGTTGGCTCTGCGCTGCCGTAGCGCAAAGATGTCTGCCTCCATGGCTGCGAGACCCGCTCCTATGTAATTATAAATAACGAATTCTAAGGCAACGCAAATATTAAGGTTAAGAGGCTGAGCTCATAGATGATGATAAAATAACATAGTTATGTATAATATATTACATTTCTGACTGTATATCCCTGTAATTATTACACACTGTAGCTTTAAGAGTTCTTAGATGAAATTTGTATGACTTGGGGCTGAACAATTTTAGTTAATAAACTCTTATATTTTGAATTGAAGTGGTGGTGAATTTATTCCATATATGTGCAGTTATCCGTTTGTCCATGATCTGAGCTCCTTTCACACCTCATTTGTTGTTCTAACCACTGATCTCTATTTATACACTGGATTGCTGATTGCCCGTTGGAAGTATGGGGTAAAGTGAAGCCATCTGCCGCCATATTGGTACTCCCTAGTTAGACCCGTCGCGATGTATACAATATGTGCGCTACAACATTAAACTATGATGATGTTTTAATTTTCAGGAGGCAAAACTTTTAAAATAAAGATAAATGAATCACTTTGACACACACTTGCTGTTTCATAGCATAAGTAGATTACTGTAACTTATGATAAAAAAAAAAAAAGAAAATTTGGGACATCACATTACATAGTCATTATGAAGTCAATGAAGTCTATAAATCATGAAATATGACATATTATACAAATCCACCATAACAAAATGTAAGTGTTAACAGAGCATAATAATACTGATTGCCAAAAGTGCTTAATTGATGATATACATGTAATGTACAATATGACATTGTTGTGGTAATTACATATTATATATATTTCAAGATTTACATCAAGACTAAATTACAAGTACATGCCTGTTAATGCCATAGTATTCTCCTATTTTTTAAATTGTGCATGCCAGATGCCATATACTTTTATGCTGTGTCTGTGCATTACCCTTTAAAAAATGTTTTGTTGCTTTTTTTCCATCAATATAACATGCAATATATTTCAGTACGACTTTTTCAAATGAGAAATACAACAAACACTACAAAAATGACGGTGTCATCCACTTAAGAATTACTACATTGACATTTCCCAGTGAATTACTTTCCATTTACTATACTTTCCATTTTCTATCTTTAGACACAATGTCGATGGCTAACTCAGTCAATATCTTCGAGTCAGTCCGAGATAGCCAAACTAATGTTACACTACATAGTATACTTTGGGATACATCGGCGTATATATGGATTTTCTTGGTTAGCAAATCCACTGACTATGAAATTACCTGTGAAACGTTTTTCCACAGACGGCTTGTTTTTGCAAAATGCCAAATAGTACACACGTAGGCATGTTTATGGCGCGTCTCAGTGGGGAGTACCGATATAGCAGCCGGTGGCTTCACTTTTTCCAGGCTGTCAGCAATCCAGCGAATAAGTAGAGATCAGTGGTTCTAACACAGCCAGTAGGACATGCGTTTACAAACAATATATGACAGCCCAAATATTATCAGATTAAATAACATATTTACCACCTATAGTATAGGGGTAGGCAATAAATATAAAAAAAAGAAAGTAAATCTTAAAGTTGCACGACCAGATCAAGAAACATAAATGGCAAATTAAAATTCTGCTACATGCTTTTGGTCCTTCAGATTTTATTGTGTTAAAAAAAAGGCTGCTGTTGCAAACAAAAGGTTATTCACTGATAATATGCATCCTTTAGAGAAACAACTGAAAGTGGAACTGTAAAAAAAAGAGCAAACCGACAAATATGAACCCGCAGAAGAGCAGCCAGACAGGAATGGGTCCTAAGGAATACAGGGAGAAAAAATTAATTACAAAAATTTGAGGTTCAGAGATACAGTATGTGTAAAGGCAAATGCCAAACTTACTTCCTTTGGTAACAGCATGTATTTGACAACGACTATCCACAGCTACACTTAGCATTGCTGTTTTGTTACTGCCTTTGATACTTTGGCCTTTCAGGAAGTCAGGCAAAAATGCTAGATCGGTCACAACAATGCCATGTGACTCATTGACATAGTACAGCTTCTGCAAAAAAAAAAAAATAAATCAATTACATAAAGGTAAACTTTTGAACATCTATTTTTTTTTTATTCAGGCTAGCATTATGCTTGTGTTACCTGTAGAGAGAAAGCAATATAAATTGCTACCGATCCCGTAACTGTGCCAAGGCCAAGAAACTTTCCAGAGTCACTGTTAAAGATAATTTCAATGTTAATTCTTCCATCTGGTATCCTTAAAGCATTTTTTTAAGCAAAGTTCTATTAAAAATGAGGGAAAAAGAATAAAACTTTAAAAAGTTTCTTATATTGTGAAAAAAACTGGTGAGTTGTTTTAATGCATAATGCATTACTCAAATAAAGGAAACCATGCAACAACTAAATTCCACAGTATGTATTAAGTGAAGTCTCAGTTGCTGTTTGAATATCAACCCAGGTTCAGAAAAGTAATTAAGATGGCCTTAAGTACATAAGATGGCCTTGGTGATATCAGGTAGGTATAATCCAACTGTAGTGTGTACCAGTTTTTAATGCTGCATGCACCGGCATGTAGGCGGGGGACAAAGGCAACTTTTGAGTTGTCCAGATGTGAGACGACTCAGCTAAATTAAGAAAAACAACTTATTCCCTACTGAAGTGATGGAGTCAAAGCCACCTCTTCAGAGATCAAAACCAATGCCAGAATATTGCCAAATATTTTCGGACTTTATTTCTTGTAAACCACAAAATGCTGAAATGGAAACAATGGTTAATTAATCTACCAAAATTCTGTATTAATCTAGTAATTGTCATAGCTATTAAGTTAATAGATCTAGCCACACTTAGAACTAGATTTTCTAAACTTAATTTACATAGCGTGATGGTTATACGATGACCTAGAAAACAGCAAAAGTAATACATTTTTGTCATATAAAGAAAAAAAAAAATGTATGGAGGGGGTATTGGAGCTGGGATAAGGAATTGAGGGTTTGGAAGTGGTCATATTCACAGTGGGTTCACACTGGGTCGCGGTGTGCCCCTGGTCCTTGGTCTCTTTCTCCCTTAGTGCAGGGTGGAGAACAGGGAGCCTATTGGGGCCAGTAGGGGAGCTGGCTCCCTGGAAGAACCCTGTTCACTAGTTCTTAGCTCCTCATCTCCGATGCTTGCCCTCAACTACTGTATCACACTACAGTAAAGTTAGGATCTTGGGGAGGAGGTAATCACCAGGGTGGGTTTTCCCAATGCTGGTGGTGGTCTATGCCCCAATTTTTAGAAACATCAAAAGGGCTGGTTATACTCCCCAAAGCAGGGTGTCGCAGATACTTTTTGATTTATGCCCAATAATTGAAGTGTGGTCTGCGCTATGTTATTCCACGCCACAAAGCAAGATAGACAATCACGAACTAGCTGGGGGTCTAGATACTGCCGAGGCGGTGAGGAAGTGGGGGCAAGTTTGTGCGACAACAGAGGGACATGAGGGCGAAGAAGAGCGGGGATCCAGGTGGAAAAAGGGTCCCAGCGTCCCACTTTGGGGTTTGGCCCCTCAGGGGTCGAGCTCTGAGTGCTCTCATTGTCATGATCCTGGCACTGGTGGCTGGCCTGATTGCTCATTCCACTCACCTGTGTAACTCTGTCTGTTTTTCTCATTACTGCTTATCTGATCCACCTGTTTTCAGCTCCTATATATGCTGTGTGTTTTCCAGCTACCAGTGCCAGAATATTCAAGCTGTTTTGTGTGAGTAACTCTAGCCCTCTGTTTGCTTTTCTGATTATCTAAATTGTGACCTGTTTCTGTCCTGTGGATCCTGAGTTTTGCTTTGCCCTAGTCTGCTCTTTAATCTGCTCTGTTCTGGACTGATTCCTGAATTCACCTGGCTCACCAAACTTGGACTGTTTTTCTGACATTGGCTTGGATTCCCCTTCTGTACCTCATCGGCTTTCTGATCCTCTGGTCTGTGAACTTGGTTCTGCTTCGACTTCGGCTTTGGACATTCCCTTCAGGACTCTGTTGCCCCTCGGCCTCGGCTGGCTTCAGCTCCACTCAGAAACAGGACCCGGTTTATCCGCCCCAGCTGACGAGCAGCCATGCTGAGAGTTAAATAAAGTCTAGTTTTGAACTATCCAGATCTGTCTGTTTTTGAATATTGGGTCCAAGGTTTTGAACTCATTACACTCATCTCATAGGGATGCTGGCATTTCTCTGGTTACCCACTGCCTTTGAAGCATTTTTGATGTTTACTTTGGTTGCATGATGTCTTCTTCCTGCTGTTTTTAATCTTCTGTTTTCTGTCCCATCTCATAATGGTGTGGAAGACGACTTGTAGGAGTTACTCTATATCTTTTGTGTTGTCTATTTTTACCAGTTTTGCTTTGTTTTCTTTCTTTTCATGCACTCTTTCCTCTTTCTCCCTTTGCATCTTTCTTTCTCACCTCCATTTCTCTCTCGGTTGAATACAATTTTACTCCCTAAACAATTTTCAAGAAAGTCTCATATACAAGTATGAAGCGTGAGCTTATTCAATTCAATTTATTAATCCCTGAAGGAAAATTCGGTTTCGGTCCTACCTGTCCAAGAAATAACACTCATAATGGTCTGCTTGTGAAAGCAAAGCTGTTGGGCTATCAGCTAGCTCTGGCACATCCATTCCAAGAATCATATTGGCAAAACAGGACGCACACAAAAAATATCCAATTGACATAGATTTGCTCAAAAATAGTGATGAATGATATGCACGTCTTTCGGACTGTCAGAGCCAACAGAATTCCTGTCCGTTGCTAAAAGTCACATGGCCAAAAGGTGACAGAAAAAAGCCAGAAACAGTCTGTAGTCACATTTGTTACTATGGTACTGGGTCATTCCATTACAGGAGCCATGTGGAAATATTTTATCTTACATGGATAAGTGAGGGTAAGACTGACATGATTTTTTTTGGTTTCGCTTTGTCTTGTGTAGATTCTGCTCACATAATGCTTGCCAAGATGGCTAATAACACCGGAAATTAAAATGCAGCTCTCAGGATTTTTAATTTGTTGTGCAGGATATCGGAACTCTAAAGAAAAATTATGACTAACAATCATAAATAAAAACTTAAAACTTTGAGAATCTCGTGATTGGCCAACTTGTAGTCGGTACAGTCCCAAGGTTGGCTTCATGTGCTCTTATTCGTTATTTATCCATAATTTATTCTACAATGGTCACATACAGTCAGTCCCAGAGATTTTAGAAGAGTTACCAGAACAGAACCAGCCCATTTTACTGGCTTGCTGAAAAGATGCAACATCATCCCCTTATTTTGAACTGAACAAACATAGAAGGATCCATGGCAGAGACGGACGATAAAATATGAGGTGTAACAGTGAGCTTTGGGAGTGAGATGTCTGATTCACTCCTTTTAACACAATAAAATGCAATTTTTATCACTGACCCCCTTGAATTGGTTACCTGACAGCGAGACTGGAAATAACTTCAGTGCCACAGTGAGATGTTAACATGGGTAGAAAGATCTTGCCATCCCACTTTGTGATATAGCAAGGAGGAGGATTTTTGTGTCGCTTATGAGGGATTTGCACTGTGTAAAGCCTTAGTGCATCTTTCTCCTCCTCACCATTTCCAAACCTAGAAAGAGATGAAAACAATTTAGATGGACCCATCAAGATGAGAAATCCTATCTTATTTCCTGTTTAGTTTACCTGCATGCCATATATCGATATGACTTTTCAGAAATATGAGGCATGGTTTCACACCACTTTAGACCTGTAATCATTTGGTTGCCACTCCATACAGTGCAGGTAAAGTCTCGCCCAACAGTCACAAGAAGCTGCATGAGGAAACATGATATTTACTTTATTATTTCTGATGAACTCGTATAAAACCTCCACATTGAGCACAATGAATGGTCACCTTGCTTTCTACGCTCATATCCAGGTCTTCAATCTCCTCTTCATGTGCTTTAAAGTCAAACTGTTTCTTGAGGGATGGAAACTTTAAAAAAAAAACAACAAAAAAGCAACTAGGTTAAAAGAAAAACAAATTCAACTTTAGCATCTAGATTTAAACAAACTTATGTCTTTCTAGGATTGTCTCCATAAGGACTTCTGTTGGCCCCCAATACAATCTGAGTCTGGTACTTGGGCTCTGATTTGCTTATACAGTGCACCAGTTTCTTAAAAAAAATGCTAGGTACACTGTATGCAATATAGTAACACTTATTTAATTAATTTGTTTTAGGCTACTCTTAAATATAAAAGCATTGTCCTAGGTTTAAAATCCACAATTGATCAGTTACTGTGCAATACTAACAGGCTAAAAGGAGTGATGGAATAGTAGTTAGAAATTAGGCCATTTGTGACCTTAGGAAAGTACAGGTTTGGAGGTTAAATCTCACTGTCACTATGGGTCACTGGGCAATGAAAGATGCTCCCAACAAACTCATCTCAAATTAAAGGCTGTTACTTTTGCTTATTTTAATTTGAGAATTGCCAGACAGGCAAGACTTGGCAATGTTTTTCACTCAATCAATTAAGAATGAAATTGGTTTCGATGATTGATTAACCTTAACTCCAAAAGGCTGACCATGGAGAGAGATTCTTTTTTTTTTTTTTTTTTTTTTTTACAAACATCACTTCAGCTTTAGTCAGATTTCAGCCAAAATGACCTGGGTGCATGATCAATCCTGTCTAAAAGTTTCTAACATTGTCAATTTACATTAGGTAATATTGGCTAAATATTCCTAAATGATGTCAATAGGGAATATGTTAGGGTCTGCTGCAGAACACACAATGCACCCAATGTCCAGGCTGTTGTTTCAGTCAGCAGAGAGGATGTTTTAAGTAGTTTTTATTAACTTTATGTAAGTTTAAGCTGGGAGTGCTTTGTCTCCTTAAGGTTTACAACATTAAGGCATCAACGCTCCTGTTCTTTTAGCTGTGACATCACTGCATTCAGTGTGTTATACATGCTTGCAGTCAAACAAATCTAATAAGCTTGTTAGCAGTTAAGCTGACAAACCAGACCATTCTCACAAGTACAAGTTGTTGTATCATGATACATTTTTGGTTAAATCTCCAGTAACTGATAAGGCATAAAACTGTTCTTTTAGTTTTCCTTAAGAATGTTCTTTGAACAAACAAAGAGAAAAAGTATTAAATTACTTAAATCTGTGCAAATACGTTTGCTTTACTTTAATCACCGCCTGCTGGTGTATGCGGCAAAACCTCTGAGATTATCATAATGGAAAACTTTTAAAAAAGGTATATTTTATAAGTGTTGTCACTAATAGCAGTCGTAATTGCAATTTATGCATTAAATGCTATACATCTACTGTGATAATAACTAATCTCTTTGACCATTTCCCCCTTTGTACTTGTTTTTTTTCTTTAGTAGGAGAAAAAGGGTAAAAATTACACAATTAATGAATAACTTTTATTTTCACAGTATAAAAATATAGTCAAAAGAGCTAAGAAGCTCTGACAGGATGTACAGTCCTATGAAATATTAGGACACCCAAATTAAAACATAATTTCTACTGTATTAGGGCTGAAACAATCAGATTGTGATTAACTGATTATTGAAATAAATGCCCACTAATTTAGTAATATATCAATCGTTAAGTTGAATATAGAGTCTGAAACATGGCTTTACCTGAAAGAGCAACCCACTTAGAGCAGTAGTTACATCAAAATTGTAGAAAAAATTTATTAGCATTTTGCATTGAATGTAATAAAAATGTCAAAATCCAGAACTCAAGTAGAAAAGCTTTAGTTTCACCTGCTTTAATATCATAAAAAACCTTCTTTAAGGAATCTTTGGCTATCCAATTATTAATCGAAATAATTACGACAGATAAATCGATTTGCAAAATAATCTCTTGTTGCAGCATTAATATATATTTATTTCAGGAAAAGGAAGAGAAAAAAAAACATTTTCATTTATTTATCTGTGAAAATTCTCTGTCGTCCAGGTCAAGGTCAAGCTTGAAAAAGTTCAGTTTAGGCAACTGGACAGGAAGTTTTCTAGAAGACATTTCGCCGCTCTTTTTCCAACTTTCCAAGTTATGCTCTAATTTAGGGTTGGCACATCAGTGTCCCATCTTCTCAACAACCTTTCAGATGTATTTATGATTTATCATAGAAACACTTCTAATCTGTGAATAGACTGAAATATCTTAATAACTCAGGACTGGGGGCGTTTTCTGCTGCATTTTTTTCTCTCATCTAAGAAAATACTCCAAGATTAGTTCTGTATCCCTTTGTTCTGTGTTTCCTATGTTTTCTCAAGTCCCCAGTTAAGTGCGGCAGAACTCCTGGTTCTGCAGTATGTATCTACCTGTCGAAGCAGTGTTTTCCTTTTCACTGTTGCTACACACATATCTTGCCACATTTAACATAAACTGACAAGATGTAGCAATAAATATACTGACATTAAAGATTCCAAAAACAGGATTCTTGCCCTTTTCATAACTAGTTTTTAAGTTTTATGGAGAAGGGACATTTAAGCATCTCTGAAGGTCAACTAGGAGTGTTTTATGTAATGCTTTAGGAGTCTTCTGCTCTTTATGCTCAACCTATTTCATGGGTATGATTAATTCAATTTGATTAATGTGTATATAATGACAAACATAGACAACATAAAGAAATACATAAGGAATACATAAAGAAATATTACAGCCTAACAATGGAACCAAACGACCCGCTAGTCAGTTTCATTTTGCATGTTTCAAAGCAATACGAAGCCTTGTCCATACAAAGCCTCACACTCACTGCGGATCCCGACATTTGAATTGAGAAAGCTTCTGGAAGGGGAAGTGAAACGTCTTCAAATCTTGGAAACCAAGTCCAGTGGATTGTTTTTAAAATTTTACGGAATGACAATGACCTGGATGACTGAGAATCTTCATCAGCATAAAGAAACACATATTTGGCTATAGTGATAAGCAAGGTTTTTATAAAAATGCCGTCTGTCAGTGATTTATTTGTTGCACCGTTCATTTTCCTGTGTAGGTTGTCCCTGACACTGTTTAAGCTTCTATCAGTTCTTGCCAACCCCGCAGTGAACATTGGTCCTTGCTTGGCCACTCCTACGAAAATTTCTGATAATATGTTGTAAATTGGCCCAATATAAATAAAATGAAAGTTTGGTCTGTAATATATGATTTCTTGACAAGCAAAAGGTTCCTTTTTGATCACATCTGAAGCAAGTTAAATCTCTTTATGTTAACACAAGCATCCACTTATCCATCAACTGTAGCAAACGTCTCCTTAAGACCTCTAGGATATTGTTTTAAGTCTATGTAGACTTATTATTAATTTAACCTGCTTGGAGAGCCAATTGAATAATCATTGAACTTTCTCTCACATTGGATAAATTTACCTCTGCATTTAACCCATCCCCTTGGGGAGCACTGGGCTGCCATTGTATGACGCCCGGGTAGCAGCATGGGGTTAAGGGTCTTGCTCAGAGAGCCAAAGTGGCAGCCTGTATGAGTGGGGCTTGAACTCAGAACCTCAGGATTCCACGCTGTAAGCACTGACCATTAGGCCGCCCTATAGATTATTTTCCCTACAGAGGACTATTTTAAACCCCGTTGAGACGTCCCCCACCAGATTCTTAAACTGCTACAATCTTTCTTCTTTATGCAAGAAGACAACTATTTTGTACTCAACCTGATGAAATAAGTTATAATGTCTTAGGGTTAAAAAGGTAAAACCTTTCAGAGTAACAGTGTTCATATGTGCATCTAATTTTCCGCATTTAATTTAAGAGTTAACTTGTACAACAAAAAAATTTGCATCTCTACCGAAAGGAAGATTTTTGTTTTCTTTATTTTTGTGATTTAATTAAACAACTTAAATGTGTCTGTATTGTTAAACTAGATATTAGGGGGATTGTGAACTCATGGTTAGGGTATTGCACTTGGAATCCGGAGGTTCTAAGTTCAACTCCTGCTCCCACTGATTGCCCTCTGGGTTCCTGAGCAAGACTCTAAACCCAACCTCCCAGAGCGCCGCACAATGGTAGCCCAATGCTCCCCAACGAGATGGGTTAAATGCAGACAGTGAATTTCATTGCTCTGTACAATTAAATACATTTAATTGAATTGTACATTAAATACAAACATGGGCCGTTTCTCAATTCACAAGAATGCAAGTATGGACCCATGTTCTCGCTAAGTTTGTTCTTGACAAGAACACAGGAAAGTATGGCCTCTGAGAGAACGGGAGCACACAGTCCGTTCTCAGTCTTGTTTTCTTTTTAATTGGAACAGTGCTGGAACTTGTGAAACTGATGAAGTATTGAGAAACGTCCATGGTTCCAAATGCTTCCTATCCCTTTTTTTTGGACTAAAGAGAAAAAGACTGAGCTGTTTGAATAAAGGGCATTGAACATTCCACATGGTATACTTTGGAATGCTTTATCAGGTACTAACTGCTGTGGAAGGTTTTTCAAAGCATTAAAATATTAACTGGCTAATGTGGGAGCATTTTCAAATTTAAATGAAGTTTACCTCCCAAACTCTGATGAATCCATCTGTACCTCCAGTCAGCAGAAGCTTCATGTCAGGACTAAATCTGACAACTTTCTGAAGAGGATCGTTTGGGTTAAGGTCCGAGAGCACTTCAGCTAAATTGGTCACGGTGATAAGATCTGTCTCATCTCTCATATCCGACTTGTCTCCAGTTGCAGCAGGTTTATTGAGGTTGCCTTTGTCTGCTTTCCCAGGTCTCCGTCTGGCATTACTGAGTTCAGGGGTGTTCCCTACAGCAGAAATGACAATCTTAACTAGATAACATGATCAAAAATATCACATATTGCACAGTTACAATAGATCATTTTAATTTAAACAAGAAACACTTCCCTTTTGTCAGGTGTTTTCCAATAGGCTCCCAAACAGCACTTATGAACAATGCTTAAAAAAAGCAAGATGGACAAGCTGCTACTGCAGAACTACAGGCCTATCTAAGGCTGGTGGGGGGGAAGCATACCGTTCGGTCGCTCCCGGACCAGCCCTGGAGCTCACGGCTCGGTTCAAATGCTGTGAACCCAGAACTGGTCACCACAGATACGCTAGCATTGCTATCAACAGCTTAGTGACTGAATCATAGTTAAAGCTTGCAATTGTGATGGCCTTATGGTCGGAACAGCCCCTCATTTCAGTAAAAGAAGTTTAGCAGATCCTGCTTTGAACTGTCCAAGATTTTGAAAGCTGTCTTCGGTAAAATCCTTAGAACAATTGAAATGCCGAGCATCAAACTTTGCAGGGATCTTCTGATAGACAAAAACAATCCATGCCTGTCAGGTCTTTGGATCCTTGGGAAGACTGTGAAAATGGTCCCCTTTCTCCAGTCAGCCTCGAACACTACATTTACGATAGTGAATCAGTGGGCTTGTTTGTATGTCCATTTTGGGGCGTGATAAAAGTACAGGCCAGAACCAAATAAGGCAACATCCCTGAGTTTACGTCAACTCCGTGCTTCGTCTGAATTCGACCGTTTTATGGTGGAAGTTCAGAATTGTGAGATTTGCAGAGAAAGTAGGTGTCGATGGGATTTGAACTTCTCTGTACATCCATTTCACCCACTGAGCTATCGTTATTTATCTATAAAAACTGAAACACGGTTTTGCATTCCATGGCCCCTTTAAGCCCAGAAGTGGCAGGCCAAGAAAAGTATCAGAGAGGCAGACAAGAAGAATGGTGAGAATGGTCAAGCACAACCCACAGACCACCTCCAAAGACCTGCAGCATTATCTTGCTGCAGATGGTTTCACTGTGCATCGTTCAACAATTCAGCACACTTTGCACCAGGAGGGGCTGTATGGGAGAGTGATGCAACAGAAACCTTCTCTGCAAGCATGCCACAAACAGAATCGCTTGAGGTATGCAAAAGCACATTTGGAATAAGGTCCTGTGGACTAATGAAACAAAGACTGAGTTGTTTGGTCATAAAAAAGGCATTATGCAGGGCGGCAAAAAAAAAAAAAAAAAAAAAACACACACTGCATTCCAATAAAAGCACATGCCTCCCACAGTAAATTTTGGTGGAGGTTCCATCATGCTTTGGGGCACTGGGAATCTTGTTAAAGTTGAGGGTGGCATGGATTAGACTCAATATCAGCGTATTCTTGAGAATAATGTTCAAGAATCAGTTACGAAGTTCAAGTTGAAGTTATGGAAATTTCACCAAGACAATGATCCAAAAACACCTCTCCAAATCTACCCAGGAATTCATGCAGAGGAACAATGGTCTGGAATGGCCATCCCAATCCCCAGACCTGAATATCTATGAACATCTATGAACACTGACTTGTATATTAAACTGCACTTCCAACATTCACCACTGTTCGGCGTGTAACTTTTCCTCTGATCATGGAGCAAATCCCGGCTTGCTTGGTCTCGCAATGAATTCTGGGAAAACCTAGGATAGCGAGGATACATCGGACCCGTCCTTCAAATCGGGCTAAAAGAAGGACGAATTTTAAGGTCGCATAACGAGGACTGGAATCAGACCAGACCTCAGCGCCGCACTATGGCGTAATCGTCCTTCAAATCTTGCCTTCTAAGGACGCGTCCCATGAAGTTGAACAGGGCCTGTATCTCTCCTATCCTAGTTTCTTTTAATTTGCTTTCTAGGAGTTTCAGAATAGAATATTAAATCCTCCTTCTCACATATAAAGCCTTAAATGGCCAAGCTCCATCTGATATCAAAGATCTGATTGTTCCTTATGTTCCTAACAGAGCACTTAGCTCTCAATCTGCAGGTTTACTAGTGGTTCCTAGAATTTCTAAAAGTAGAATGGGAGGCAGATCTTTTAGTTATCAGGCTCCTCTCCTGTGGAACCAACTACCAGTTTTAGTCTGTGAGGCAGACACCCTGTCTACTTTTAAGGCTAGGCTTAAAACTTTCCTTTTTGATAAATTCCATGTAAATCCGACAATTTGATCAGTGAAAAAGGAGCTGGGTTTGAACGCCCCATAAGAGCATAGAAGATGGAACCTAGCTGGGCCTTGCAGCGGAACAATGATCTCAAACATCCTGCTCGGCCAAGGTTAGGGAATTGCCTAGCCAGTCTCCACACCTTGACCGCAGCTACAATGTGTACAAAGCTGCTGAAGATGTCTAACATCCGTCATTGCCAACAAAGATTATGCAACAAAGAATTCAGTTGAACTTGGGTTAATTACAAAATGCCTATTTTCCACAAAAATGTAAAAAAAAAAAAAAAAAAAAAAAAAGAAATTGTTCACAATCAGTGGCTGAACAAGTACTTGTTTGCTCCACCTTAAAGCTGAAGAAGATGATGCGTTATTTGCTATAACTGAAGTTCATTCTGAACCTAAGTAACTGCAGAAAGACGTGATTCACCTTTCTTCACTACAGATTTAAGCAACCAAAACTCCTAGTAGGGCTGGGCGATAATTCAATAACGATATATATCGATCGATAGACATGTGGCGCAATAGAAAAAAAGAGGGTCGATAAAAGTTCGATAAAAAAGAAACGTAGCATAAACCTAGCATGTAGGTTTATGCTAGTCGCTGCTTCCTCCCAACCAATCACAATCGTGGACCCAGGCACGCCGTCACAAAGCACCGCCCTCTCAAACCACAACACAGAGCACATGAAGATGTCGCAGCAAGGAGAGGCGGAGGAAATTGTTTCAAAGAAGGGTTTTTGTAGTTGGGCAGTCTGGCAGTATTTCGGTCATGGCAAGTTGGACAAAAAACAAACCACAGTCATCTGTAAAATTTGTCGGGAACCAGTGAAAACCAAGTCTGATAACACAACCAACTTTTTTTTTTTTATCATCTCAGCCGCTCACACCCGCAGGAGTACGAGCTGTGTAGGCCCCGACGCGGCTCTCCTCCGATGAATCTTCAGGAATTTCGGGAAAATATATATATATTTTCAGTTCTGGGCAGTTTCCCACTTAGTTCTAACAATTGAGAGAAAAATGCTGAGGGGCCAGAAACTTCAAAGTAATAACTCAGGTTAAAGCAGGAAACGGGGGCGGCGGCGGCGGTGGGGGGGCATTTATTTATTTGTTATATTCATTTTGGTCACTTTAGTTTATTCTTTGTCAGTATTTAATAACATAACTCAGGTCTCTTAAGTTATTTTTCTTTAAAACAATTCTGTTATGGTTAAAAAAGTTGGTTAAATAAAGATTTAATTCGAAGTCTGTGTTTGTGTTTTTTATTAAAATTAAATCATTTAGCAATATTATAAAAAGTCCAGGCAGAGCTGCACATAAAATATGGTTTCAAATCTTTTCAATAATTATCGATATCGATCAATATGCATTTTTTTTTATCGATAAGCTTTTTTTCTATATCGCCCAGCCCTAACTCCTAGTGAGTAATATGTTCAATCTCACTTTTAAAGATGTGATCAAATTGTTTTAGATTGCCTCACCATCTTTGTGATCCGATCTGTCTTCTTTCTGTCGGCAGAGGTTAAACTTCATGAGGCTACATGTGCCGTCCTGTCCAGCAGCAATCACACCGTCACCCACAGCCATGTTCATAGTAGCGCGTTTGTCTGTATTATGAGAGTGAAGAAGACTGGAGCTGTACTGATTTTCTCCAACCATCTTCAGATCCAAAAAATGCTGTAAGACAAAAGTTGGAAAAAAAATGTCTTGTCTCTAAATAGAAGTTTACACGAAAAATTTTGGAAATGTGTTTTCATAAGAAATATGTTCACAATTATGAATATAGTACACAATTTCTATAAATATTTATTTAGATATTTTTACAATATTGAGAGAGAGTACAAATTGTATAACAGAATAAATTTGCTGTCCCCTTTAAATACAAACTCTTAACATTACTGTCAAAACAGCTGGCAACAAAAGTACTGTCAATGTCATTGTACTGAATGTACAGCATCCCTCTCTCTTGCCCAAAGTCCTGACACGCCTGCTTCTATGAGTTTTTTCTCATCCAAATCAGAAGATGATGCTGCTCCCTCCACCTTTCACCTGTCTGTCTCTAGAATGGTAATCAGTCAGCAGGTCGTGATGGTGTCACCCCCAGTGTCCTGAAGGCCTGTGCAGAGCAGCTCTGTGCAGAGCATCTCTTCAACCTTAGTCTCACCCTGGAGACAGTTCTAGTGATGTGGAAGTTGTCAATCCTCTCTTATAGTTTGTTTTAAACAGGTTGACTGTTACAAACTGGCTCATACTCTGGGCAGAGGAAAACAAGATTATGATCCGATTTCCTGAGAGGAGGTCTTATTTCAGAGATGCAGGAGTCCTTGACGTTTGCATAAATTAAGTCCAACATTTTGTTTTCTCTTGTGCCACAGCTGACAAACTTTTGGGACGATAGCAGTGAAGCAGAGCGTGAGGTGTGATTAAAATCACCAGTTATTGCATCAAATGCATTTGGCTAGTAGCAACAGAACAGATCACCTGTCATAAAGAGCTGGCATCGGCAGAAGGTAAAATGTAAACAATTACTAACAGAACACTGGTAAACTCTCTGGGCAAATTCTTCTTTAAATCTCTGATTGCACAGTCAGAAAGCCTTTGCAGAGAGATGCTGGAGCCGGATTTATGACCATTAGGCCATGTTTCAGTGAAACACATAATGTTGCATTACCAACACTCTGGCTGGGTTCTTGTCTCCTAAAAATGTCACATTGACCATAATGATTGATGGAAGAGATGGCTTAAATTTATTGTTCATCTCTCTTCTACAGGCTCCTGCTCTGCATCCCCGGCGCCTCCTTTTCAACTCAGCTGGTACTTGCAGAAGTAGTTTGGGTGCTATTTTAGCTTCAGATTAATTAGCTGCTGTTGGGTGTTAAAAACCCCCCCAACCCAAAATCAACTTTCTATGGTTGCTGTCGTAAAGCATCATAACAATTATCGAAAGAGGAAAAAGATTCAGTAACAGTCCTCCCAGTTTCACAGCATTCAACACCAAAGGCAAAAAACATCAGAAAAAGAAATTCTGATCCAAAACTGGAAGAACTTAAATTACAAAAAACAGAGTCAAGCCAGCAGAGCTACTCCCACATGCAGTCATCTTAAGCAGAGCTATTCTAGAATCTATATATCTATAAATAGCACCTACAATAGGGATTTCAGTGTTGATGAGGGACTTTGGCCAGCATCTAAAACCATGTCTGCATTGATCTGAAATACTTACCACAGCATTTTGTATTCCTGTCTTTGAGGCACCCCCGCCTCCTGCTGTTATCACAAGCCCTGTAGCTGCATCCACTTTGACGCTGTAAAGTGGAAATGGAGCTCTATACAGATCAAGCACCTTCTTCTTTCCCATAGTTCTTCACGAAACATCAGCACTCAAACACACCTGTTGAAAACAAATTGTTAGTAATACATACACACACAAACACTATGGTTGTCAGTGAAACTACAATTTCAAACTTGATATAGATTCTCAAAACATGCAATGTCATTGTCAATACTGCAGCAACTTCATTTGCCATTAGGTTCTCAATTAAGGCTGGGATTAAAAATTTATTTAATTTATGTTGGAATGATTCCTTACATTTTTGCAGCTAAAATAGCAACTAAAACAATAGGTAGGAAGACAAAATGTGGAAAATGAAAGCAACATATTAATCTGAGGTATGATTAGCAAAACATAAAATCTGTTGTCCTTCACTAGGGGGGGGGTCCTCCCAGTTTCAAAAATGAATTTCAGGCACTGTAACTACCTATCTAATGATTGAAAATTGGCCCAAAATTAAGTTTTATCATACTTTCCCAGAGTAACAATCGCAGTATGAACAAGAGGAGATGATTTATCCATACTTTGAGACTGCTGGGAGTACATTGCGTTACAGTCACATGTTTAATGAAGTAGTTATTTTATAACTTATTTATTACATAAAAAAAAAAATTGTATTTTACCAAATTTTCCAAAAGTAAAACTTTCTGTATAATCAACAGATTTTTTTATACCTTGATTTTGGTTGAACTACAGTGCTAATTATAGAGTTTAGACTTTAGACTTCAGACTCAACTACGCCCTCAGGTAAATTCTGGTTCCAGTAGATTATATAGAGTACAAAGGGCAGAGTAAAAGCAAGATGCCATTAAAGATAAAGACTCAACAGACAATATAAAAAGTGTATATAGTACAAAAAGCATCTAAAAAAGTTGCAATGTACTGGAATATATTTCATTTAGGTATAAAAATATCTGCACAGTAGTAAGGGAAGACTACACAGTAGTTGACTTGATTTACTGCACTTGTACTGCAGATATGTGCTGACCTTATAAATGCACAGTGAGAGAAAATATTAAGTAAGCCCCCCACGTAGCTGTCCTCCAGCAGTACCTGAGCAGCCAGGTGATTGGGTAACTGTACGCAGAAAGCGTAGTCGTGGATCTCTGCCCACTGGTCACCACCAACCCGGGTTAGGGTTGGTGGTGACCAGTTTCTAACAGATCTCCCCCGCTCAGTGACGCACCCAATGAGATTGGCAGACAAGCACTCTGGTGATTGGCAGACAACCAAAATCAATTAAATGTGGTTTATTTATCATAAGATCTCTTTCTTCAAAAAGTCTGCTAGATGACTAGCCTAGTAAAGTAGCCCCACTCGCCAGCGTCCTTAATCATTTTTGCCTGCCAGTGGTCTAGGCTCAATCAATGCCCTGGGCCCTAGAACTGGCGTGCCAATCACAACGCAGAGATGTGTTTTGAGGGTGTAATGACGAAGCTGTGAGACGCTGGAGAGCACAACAAGGAAGATGTCAACAATTATTGAACAGTTCTCGTTTGACTCAGCTTTGGAATCAGTTTTGGAAGGATCAGACTTGTAGTTTTCTTTGACATGTGAGCAGGAAGAGGCTCTATGCTCAATCCTTTTTTAAGGACGTATTCACAGTTTTACCGACAGGCTGTTTGTTCACACTCCCCCATCAGCTTTTTGTCGCACTTACTACGTCACAGTCAGTTGCGCTCATATGTCAGTGGTGGCCAATAGGCACAGACACAGTTTGAAAAACAACAGGTTGTATTCATCAACAATCCCTCGATGGCTCATTCACAGGGTCAGACTAAATGACACATTTAATCTCACATTAAGTCTGGTTTATCAGGCTAATGGATGACCTGTTTTGTTATAATCAAAATGATTTATCTTGTCTTGAAGAAATGTGGCTGCAGCCGCAGGACTGAAAGCACAAATAAAGCAACTCCGTCTAGTTATTCAAATTTTCACATACCCAGAAATTCTGGACAGGGAGGATGTGCAGCAACAATATTTCAGTCCGACTGATAATTTACTCTGCAATAAGTTAATAATTAGAACTCTTTTGAACATTTAACATTTCATTTCAACTTGTCCTTACTCAGAATTTTTCCTATCAGATTTGGTGTTGAATACTGACAGGGTCATCATAGTGGAGGATTTTAACATCCATGCTGACATTTAAGGTGATTGTTTTAATGCATCCTGTAATGTTAGACTGGAATGGCTTTGTTCAAAATGGGAATAGTCCCACACATTCTCATCTTCATACTTTGGACCTTTTGCTAACATATGGCATTGAATGCAAGGGGATAACAGTATTTAATCACAACCGTGTCCTCTCTGACCACTTTTTAATAAACTTCAAAATTATTTTAACAGAGTTCTCCTCCCCCAAAAGGCAGATCATTATCAGATAATGCAGTTAAAAAATGTAAAATAATCTGTTCCACTTTCTATTTCCTATTGAACTGCGAAGGGCAACAATTTGATTTATTCCCCTTCAAAAACTGATGACTTTGTTTATGGGCTTACAGATTCCCTGCATACTGCCTTGGACGCCGCCAACACCTCCTCAAAAAAAAAAATAATTTTTGAAAAAGCTTGCTCCCTGTCATACTGCAGAGCTGCAAAACATTTAAGCAAAAAGCCAGTTAACTGAAGAGAAGATGGCAGTCTATATGCGTAAGGGAAATCCTAGCTCGGTTGGAAAAGCAAGAGCAGCATATTCAACCTGACCCATAGCTCTTTAGAACCATCTATTCCCTCGGCTCTTAGCAGTAAGGTTTTAATGGGATTCTCTATAAACAAGATTGATTCGAACACAGCCAAAGACCAGTCAGCAACAGGTGTTGTGACAAAATATATGACCCGTCAGTTTTTGTGACTCTTGTTTACCTGTAGTAAAGTCTTATCAGCAGTCTACTTTCTAACCAAAGTATCACAGGGTTAATACCTGAACCTAAAGCCACAAGTCTAAGGTCTATGATGAAACCCTTATATATTACGGATTACAAATTCCGTCCTAACACCGGCATGTCTGTCTGTCATAACAGTAAGATAACAGAATCGCAACTTTCTTTCCTGTGGCTGTCCTGTCACCGCGCTGATGGTCTCCTACCTTTGAAGTTTAGTCAGTTTATCTTGGATGAGGTTATGTCAAAAAAATACAAACAAAAACCACCGAAATCATAAGGGGTTTTCAATAACAACAGCGCACTTTGATATAAGCTAAAGCTGCAGCTTCCTTCCAACACGTCAGCAAGCCAGACTTCTTCTTCTTCTTCTTCTTATGGGGTTTTATGGCGGTTGGCAGACTTGTGAATTGTGCATTACCGCCACCAACTGATATGGAGTAAAGCAAGAAAACAGAAAACGATTCACCCCCCCCCCCCCCCCCCCCCAAAAAAAAAAAAAAAAAAAAAAAAAAAAAAAAAAAAAAGAAAAAAAAAAAAAAAAAAAAAAAACCTGTGTAACTTAAACCAACATAATACTAAATCACATTTGCCCATATAATTTTTAATTTACTCTAGGTCATCTTAACTCTGCCAGTTTCTGATGGTCCCATCGGTCCTCCCATCATACTTCCAACCATCTCCCAGTTCAAATCTTTAATGTCCAGATATTTTTCTGCAGCCTTCACTATTATTTTGATTTTTTCCGTTTTTTTTGTTGTCTGTGCAGTACAATTAATTACTTCTACCATGAAAAGAACAAAATTTGTCTTTTTAACAATAAGTGAGACTTCATCAATTTTTTGATTCTCTAGAGGTTTGGAATTTGCCGTGTGTTGAACTGTAGGTTTGGGTTTTTCTGACTGAGATGGGATCCTTTTTGCAGCTTCAGCGTAGGTTATTCCGAGCTCAAATTTCATTTTTTTAATTTCCTCAGACCTTTTGCTTGCTTCACAGCCGCGATAGGCAGCAGTATGTTCTCCACCACAATTACAGCATTTTATTTTAGCTTCTTTTCCACATTTTCCGTACTCATGTTCTCCTGCACACCTTCCACACCTCTGCTTCCCTTTACAAACTGCTGCAATGTGACCGAATTTTTGGCATTTGAAACATCTCAATGGTGGAGGATTGTAGATTTTGACATTATAGCTTATGTAACCGATGAATACTTTGCTTGGTAATTGCTCTTCCTCAAATTTAATTAGCACTGATAAACTGTCAGATCTTTCTCCGTTTCTTGTTGTTTTTAACCGTTTTACTTCTTTTACTTTTGCACCGCTTATGTTTTCCAGAATCTCTTTTTCAGAAATTTTTAGAGGAACTCCTCCAATGACTCCCCTGCTGATCTTTTTGTTCTCCATTAGGCTGCACTGAACTCTTATCCCGTCAATTTTGTTGATCCGTATTGCTTTGCCTTGCTGGGCGCTGTCTCTGCAGTTAATTAGCAGGTCTCCACTGTACAGAATTCTGGCACCTCTGACTTCTCCGACAAGTTTATTGATGGTTTTTGTTAAGTGAACCGGATTCCAATTTGTAAAAGAGTCTGCCTGATTAACGACTTTGAATATGACTTTGAATTCATTTTGTTGTGCTGTGGAATGTATGGAATGATCATCACTGGATTGTTCTGAACTAGATTCCCCTTGAACTGATCTCTGTTTTTTCCGCTTTTTCTCATTTTTTGATGTTGCTATCTTCCAACCTTCATTGTCACTATTTCCCTCTTCCATCCCACAAGAATCGCTTCCTGTTTCCTCACTACTCACGGCCCAAGACATTTCTCCATAAGCAGCTTCAAAACACGCGCCATGCACCAAACGACCATCCACATCGAGCCGGCACGTTGGGTTTGATCGCTGCGGAGCCTGCTGTTCGGGGGGCCAGGCTTTAAAGTTTGAGCACAAGCCAGACTTCTTCTTCTTCTTCGGATAAAATAGCTTGCACACCCCCCCCAGTGGAGGACTTTATATGAACCTCAAATTAAAAAAAGAACTGGCGATCTCCAATGGAGGATTTTTTACATTTGTGTGGGTTCCAGCACATATTGGGGTAGAAGGAAACGAGAGGGCAGATAAAATGGCAAAAAGGGCAATTAAACAT